TTTCTAGGCACAAGCCCAGGCCTTCCACGTCTGTGTCTGACAGGGTTTTTTTGGGGGTGGGGGAGAGACACACTGCTTTCCCCATGAAAACACTCTCTTTATCAATGAATCAGAGCACACACAAACCACAGAAAACCTGAATGGCTGTTTGCTCCAATTCAGCAGTAAAGAGTGTGTTTTCGTGGGGAAAGTCGTGGGGGGAAACAAACAAACAAACAATGTTCAGACATGGACCAGGAAACAGCACACCTGTACCTAGAAAGCATGGAGGGAAAGGTAAGTGTGGATGAGTTCTAAGTGTAGACAATTCTGTGGTAAAAGGAAAAGGTAAAGGGACCCCTGACCATTAGGTCCAGTCGTGACCGACTCTGGGGTTGCGGCGCTAATCTCACTTTATTGGCCGAGGGAGCCGGAGTACAGCTTCCGGGTCATGTGGCCAGCATGACTGAGCTGCTTCTGGCGAACCACAGCAGTGCACGGAAACGCCGTTTACCTTCCTGCCGGAGCGGTACCTATTTATCTACTTGCACTTTGATGTGCTTTTGAACTGCTAGGTTGGCAGGAGCAGGGACCGAGCAACGGGAGCTCACCCTGTCGCGGGGATTCGAACCGCTGACCTTCTGATCAGCAAGTCCTAGGCTCTGTGGTTTAACCCACAGCGCCACCTGTGTCCAATTCTGTGGTAGCACTATGCATTTAAAGCAGTATCATGCCACTTTAAGCAGCCATGGCTTCCCCCATAGAATCCTGGGAAGTGTAGTTTGCTAAGGTTGCTGAGAGTTGTTAGGAGGCCCCTACTCCCCTCCCAGACTTCCCTACAGAGGGGGAATAGCTGTTAAACTATTTTAGAGCTGCAGGGAAGTTCTGGGAGGGAAACTGGGGTCTCCTGGTGACTCTCAGCCTCCATAACAAACCACAATTCCCAGAATTCTTTGAGGGAAGCCATGACTCTTAAAGCGGCATGCTACCGCTTTAAATGTTCAGTGCCAATGATGCCTAAGACAGATTCCTGTATTCCTTCATAGCAGAAAAAGCACATTGGTTGCTTCCTCTGATAATATATGCTCAAAGCAGCCATTTCGAGTCATTTAAGGTGGACCCAGTACTTCAGAGCTGGCTGCTGCTGGGTGTGACCATACGAAGCTGGGTCAACATGCTCAGATTAGTCCATTTTACAACCCTATCAGCAAAACCGCCCCACCCCCTTGAAATGTGGGGCCGCCGAACTGCAAACAACCAGCAGACACATTGTGTGCAAGCCTTTGATTTCTTAAGTTTCCTGGAAGCCTTCTAATTTTTATGAGGCGTTACGATCACACCATATGTGTAGGGGCCCCACCTTGTGAATGCTGGATAGTGAGAACGTGATGTCAACACAGCGCTCTGTGTTTGAAAAATCCATCTCTGCTGTTGAGTTGAAGGGAATATGCTTGGCTGGGGACAGTGGTCAGGCACCAAGCCAGAGCACCAAGCCAAGCGATACAGTTCAGCTTGCTACTATTTGTTTATTTGTACTCCAGCAGTGCCTGCAAGACCTTCTGTCACCCATTATGTTTTCCTGCATCAGTGACACAGTGAGTGTCGGGTGTGTTAGCATTGTCCAGGACGGTTCTGGAAATCGTGTCGCTTTATATTTGTGCAGACATTTGGTGGTGTCACAAATATTACTGTGTAGTATGAGGTTAAAAAAATTAAAATTAAAATTAAAAAATTGCATGCTGAATAATAACCTTTCGGCAAAAAGAAGTGGAAAACCTGTTTATTTGTTTGTTTGTTTGTTTTAAGTACAGTGGTACCTCGGTTTTCGAACGTAATCCGTTCTGGAAGACCGTTCGAGTTCTGAAATGTTCGAAAACCGAGGTGCAAAGGACGGCCTGCAAATTTAATTGAGAAAACGGAGAAACTTGACTTCTGAGGCGCATTCAAAAATGGAAGCACTTGCTTCCGGGTTTTCGGCGTTCGAGTTCCGAAACGTTTGTCGACGGAGACGTTCGAAAACCGAGATACCACTGTATATATTTGAAGGTGAACTGCATTTTGTTTATTTATTACCACACTGAAACCCCACATTTCTTCCAGAGAGCTCAAGTGGGGCACATGGCTCTCCCCATTTTTATCCTCACAACAACCCCGTGAAGCAAAGCTGTCAACGTTTCCTTATTTTAAAGGGAAATTCCCTTATTCCGAATAGGATTCCTCACAAGAAAAGGGAACGTTGACAGCTATGCTGTGAAGTAGGTCAAGTGGAGAGACTGCCTGGCTCAAGGTCACCCAGCGAGCTTTATGGCTGAGTGGGGATTTGAACTCTGGTCTCCCGGGTCCTAGTCCAACACTCTCCCCAGTAGACCACGCCTCCCTCTTGATTCTGCCTAATGCAAAAGCATCCAGCTTGCTTGTGTTGAGGTGCAGCTCAGAGTGGCTCATCAGCCGCTTTGCTTCTTTATGCAAGGCACTTCAGGGTAGTTTGATGGGTGGCTGGAGATGCTCAGACTGTGCAGCCACCATCCTCATGTCACTGCTTTGCTCGGGCAAAGTTAGGGATGGGGTACAAACAATGCCAGATTTACGTATAAGATAAACAAGCTATAGCTTAGGGCCCCACTACTGGCAGAATCCGAGACCAGGGAGAAGAGTTGGTGGAAGAAGATTGGAAGAAATTTAAAGTTTATTTACAGAAACATTGTAAAATTAAGGAATGTTAGAAGGATGTTGGAATGAAATAATGCGGTTTTAGCAGAAATGCTATAAAGGATTAAGGAAAAATAGATTGCTAAATGGTGAAGGAGGGAAAGTAAAGTTACATTATATTAAGATAGAATAGAGGACAAAAACTGGAAAAGATGGAAAGGATTTGCTGAAATAGCTAATTGAACTAGAATACAAAAAAGGGAGGTGTGAGGAGGTCAAGGAAATAAGCAAATGAAAGATAAGTTATGGGAAGATTTATTGTATTTTTTCTTTTTCTTTCTTTCTTTTTTTCTTGTTTCTTTTTTTATCGTGATGTGATGTTTTGTATTTCTTAAATATGCAGTTTGTTAATTATTTCTTTTTGTAACCAACCCTTTAAAATTCAATAAATATTATTTTTTAAAAAAAATAGCTTAGGGCCCCACTGTCTTGGGGCTCCCCAAAAAATTTAAAGGGAAAAAACACCTAGATTTACATTTCCAAAATATAAGATAAGTTCAACAATTACTTTGATAAAATACATATTTTGTTATGTGCAAATGGCTTTAGATACCTATTAGGTCCATAAACTGCCATATAGCATATATTCAACACAAAAAACAGTGACAATTTGTTGTTGACAAAGGACAGCTGGACATATAAAGGGCCCCATTACCTTCAGGAGTTTAGGGCCTCATCAAACCTAAATCCGGCCCTGGGTACAAATGTGATTCTGTGCAGGTTTAAAGACGAATCTGCCTAATATACACTTTCAGAAACAGATATGCATATCGTAGGGTAATGTGTGAATCGTATTGCATTGCATTGCATTATACATAATATACATTTTGTATTATTACTATTTAATTCACAGGTTAATGTGGACACTGGATGGGAACGGACAGGTTTGTCCATCTTTATGTTGCATGCAACATACATTTGAGGAGACATGTATAGCATCCGTCTATGACTAAATATTGGAGGGGCAATTCCATTTTATAAGGTTGATTCAGGAGGGAAGAGCTAACACATACCTTGATTCCATCTGTACTTCCATGTGGTTCCTTCAAAGAGAGCATCCAAAGAAATAAAATATTTACTCAGTTGTAGTTTAAATATCTCACCCTGGTGTATATTCTAAATATATGAACTAACATCTCCGTGCTAAGATATAGATCCTTTCTGTAAAGGCACATACTGTTCATGGAAAGCCTCACAGATGCCAAACACCCACAGACTAATAATGTCATCTGAAAATTGTGAAGTTAGCCTGTGCTAAGAATAATGCTGTACCGCATTCCTGCTGGAAAAGATATTCTAAGATGTTCAGTCTATTTTTTTCATCGACGGCAAATAAAATAAAGTGGTTTCTATGCTCAGAGGGTTCATGCTGACTTCAACTTATTTATATAGCCTTCAGGAAAGAAACCACCCAGTTGAACAAGTCCACAGAGCTGGGTATAGATATGGCAGGGAGGAAATTCTGACTTTGGATCCATCCACACCATCTGTGATGGCCTGGGATTCGGACTTGGACGCTGAACCTGAGGGATCCCAGCCTGCACAGGATTCCCCACCTCCAGAACCAGCTGAGCTGGGGCTGGGGCATGAGCCTGAAGGGTTCTCACCTGTGCTGGATGCTCAGGTGCAGGTGCCAGCTGAGCCTGCTCTGGCTCCTGAGGTGATGGGGGACCCATTGCCTGCAGGTGCTCCACTCTCAGCCCCATCAGAGGAAGCTGAGGTTGCCTCTGGGTCTGGTAACCCTCCAGCCTCTCCTGAGCGGCAGAGGCTCAGGGCAGAGGCGGAGGGAACTAAGTTCCTGCAGGAGGAGTGCTCGCCTCCAGGCCAGGAGAGGCGAGTCACCAGAGGATCGGGGCCGCCCTATGCCTCGGGACAGATAAAAGCCGGCCAGCCCAGTCCCAAGTTGCGGGAGCAACGTTGTTGGTTGCTAGTTCCTGCCTGAACCCTGTCCTGCTTTTCTGCCAGAGCTCCTGACCCGCCCTGGCTGCCTGCTTGCAAGCCTGTTCCTGACTTCACCCGACTCCCTGCCCTGCACCCAGCTTCAGCTACTATGGACTGCCTCCACATTGCACCTTTGACCACGGACCGGACTTGGACTTCGCCTCTTGGGTAACCCACGGGACCAGCACGCCATCCATCTAAAGAACTATGATACCACTTTAAACAGTCACAGCTTCCTCCAAAGAATTCTGGGAGCTGTAGTTTGTTCAGGGAGCTGTGAGTACTTAGGAGACCCTGTTTCCCTTCACAGAGCTACATTTTCCAGAGTGATTTAACAACCAATCCCGCTTAGCAGGGATCTCTGGGAATTGTAGATGGCTCAGTTGGTTGAGCTTGAGACTTCGAATCACTGGGTTGTGGGTTCAAGCCCCACATTGGGCAAAATATTCCTGCATTGTAGAGGGTTGGACTTGTTGATTTAAGCAGAGTCTCGTGCCCAGCGGAAGGATGAGGAGTGTGTTGCATACTCTATATTGCTTTATTTACAGTTCAAAGCTGGTATATTACAGAAAGACATCTTGCCTCTGCCGGAGCAGAAAAATGCATCCTCTCTCCTCGACAGCTCGGAGAGAATCACACAGTGAAAAACAGGAAACCAGTGTACGTCACATCCAGTCTCCCTTTCCCGTGAGAAACTCCAACAGTACAGACTGTGGAATGTAAACACCTGTCTCGTGACAAGCAGAGCTGCACAGTGAAGGAAAGCAGAAACCAACATCCTCCCCTTTCTGTGAACATCACTGGGCAGCGTGTTTGCACAATATCAGTACAAACCCAACTTCTGCACATAGGTACAGTGTTGATCCCTCGATACAATCTTGGACAATACATCAGCAGGAATTTCATTACCTGGCATATAGGACACCGTTACGAGTCCCTTCTGAATACATTCCTAGCATGCTGCAACTTTAATTGCAAGTGCTTTGTGCTTTGCTTACAACCTTCAGACTTCAGCAAAGCCAAACATGCTTTGTTGTCCTGGTAAACCTGGATTGGACATTTGACAGGAATTTTCATATCTTTGCACAATTGTACTAACCATTCACAATCCTTAAGTGAATAAGACAGTGCATTCAGTTCAGCTTCACAAGTACTTAAGCTAACTGTTGTTTGCTTCTTGCATGACCAATCAAACAGACTCTGATTGTACATGTAGCAAACTCCAGACGTACCTTTCCTGTCTGTAGCGTCACTTCCAAAACTTGCATCTGCAAATATCTCAAGACCACCAGACTTCTGATTGTTAAATCTCAGTCTGTAATGCATAGTGCCTTTCAAATACCGCGCTATGCGTTTCAGAGCTTTCCAATCCTTGACACTAGGATTGTTGACTTGTCTGCTTAGCAAATTACAGCTAACAGCAATGTCTGGTCTTGAACATCTGGCAATGAAGTTTAGCTTGCCTAGCACACTCCTGTACAGTGTAGTGTCAGAAAATGCTTCTTCAGTGTCATCTACCTGATAACCTGTTGTCATCGGTGTGTCTACAGGGTTAGCATCCATCAGATTTAGTTTGCTTAACACATCAGCAATTTTCCGTGACTGGTGTACTAGAATGTTACCATCTTGATCTCTCTCTATTTCCAGAGATAGGTAGTTGTTTACCTCACCAAGATCTTTCATGTCAAAGTGCTCTTTCAGTTGAGCTAGGGCGCTATTGTACATTGCAACATCTTTCCAAAAGAATAATAAATCATCAACATAAAACAAACAGTACAGTTTCTTTTGCCCCTCCTCTTTGACAAATACACATGGATCAGCTTTCCTTGCTGAAAACCTAGAGAAAACAATACTTCAGTGAGTTTTGTGTGCCAACACCGTGCACTTTGTTTGAGACCATAAAGGGATTTCTTCAGAGCACAAACAAATCCCTGTTTTACCTGTACGCCATCAGGTGGAAGCATATAAAGTGATTCATCTAGAGATCCGTACAGAAAAGCTGTATTAATATCATGGTGACTAATGTGTAGATTTTCCTCTGCAGCTAGCTTGAGCATAAGCCTAATGCTTTCATATCTCACTGTGGGTGAATAGGTCTCGTGATAGTCTTCACCTGGTACCTGCGCAAAACCTCTGGCTACCAATCTGGCTTTGTGTCTGACTATCTTGCCATTTTGATCTGTCTTCGCTTTGAAGACCCATTTGCTTCCAAGCAGTTTCATTCCTGGAACTACTGGAACTAGCTCCCATGTTTTGTTCCTTTTTAAGGAATCAAGCTCAGCCTTCATGGCATTTAACCATGGCTCAGCTTCCTTTGAATCCAAACCCTGGATTTCCTGGAAACTTGAAGGTTCAAATACCTTCTTGGAGCTTTTAACAGCTGTTACTGCTATCGTAGCAAACTCATCAGCAAATCTCTTTGGAGGTTTGCCTTTTGTGGCTCTCTGTGACCTACGAATTAGCCTTAAGTCTTCAACACTCTCCTCTTCCTTCTTAGGAGAAAAACGACCTATTGTGAACAATGGTTCCTCCAATTCTTGATCAGAGCTTTCAGAGGGTCGCATAGAGGCTTTCGCACTTTCGAAATCCTCTGAATCACCCGATTCAGTTTCAGATTCAGACTCAGAACCTTCATCAGTGGGTGTGGGTTGTTGTGGTTGCTTTTGACTATCCTCAGTCTCATCACCGTCATCAGGATAACATTGGAAAATTCCCACATTCTCCCCCACTTTGCATTGTACTCAACACTTCTCGTGAGCTTAATTGTCTTAGAGTCAGTCATCATTATTCTGTAAGACCCTTTCTGATAACCTAGAAAGATACCATGCAATCCACGCTTGTCTAACTTGGAGTTTTGTGGTGAGCGAACCCACATGTCAGAACCAAAATCTTCATGTGTTTGATGTATGGCTTCTTGCCAAACATCTTCTCATAGAGGTACAACCAATCGCTGAAGATAACCTGCGATTGTAACTGTAAACAAAACACGAGAGAGATTCGGCCCAATAACTCTCTGGAAGATTGGCATCATGCAGCAAGGTTTTTAACCCTTGAAGCAATGTCTGATTTGCCCGTTCCGCAAGTCCATTCTGCCATGGCGAGCGAGGACTAGACAAATCGTGTTGAATTCCTTTCTCAGTCAGAAAAGCTTCAAACTGCTGAGAAGTGAATTCCCCCGCGATCACTGAAAAGAGTCTTTATCTTCTTACCATGCACATTTTCCAACCAAGCACAGAATTCCTTGAACCTAGGAAAAGCCTCCGATTTCTGCTTGAGATTGTACACAAAAATATATCTAGAAAATGCATCAATGAGAACCATGAAGTATCTATTTCCACCCAAAGAGGGCGCTAGTGGTCCAACCAAATCAGCATGAACAACCTGGTATGGTTCTGTAGCTTTCCTACTAGACACCTTACCTTTCGCAGCCATTTTCACCTTGTTTGCTGCGCATGCTTTGCACTTCATGTGGTACCTGCAGGGTTTAATAGTCATACCTTCAACCAAGGCAGGCATTTTAGATACTGCCTCAAAATGCAAATGACCAAATTTTCGATGAAAATCGTGAATACATTCTGCATGCAAACTTTTGTTAGAACCTGCAATGCAACAAGTGTCATCCTGCACCACATCATCATAATACAAAACAAACAAATGATCAACATATTCTGCATGCAATACATAATCATTTTTCTTTGTGATGATGCACTTCTTGTTCTTGAAGGAAACGTCAATGTTCCGCTCATTCAGCTGTCCAACGCTGAGCAGATTATGTTTGGCGTCTGGCACGTAAAGCACATTCTGTATCGATAAGTCCAAACTGTGAAGAACAACAGTTCCGTAGCCTTTACTGGGAATAGTGTGGTCATCCGCCTGGTGAATCGCACCTTCCTGCGGTGTAAAAGACACAAACAGTTTCTTATCGTTGCACATGTGGTGGGTGGCCGCTGAATCAACAACGAAGAAAGATCTAGACGTCTTCTGGACCTCTGCAACCTTTGGAGTGAAGCGTGAAACCATAGCCTTGTGCTGCGTTGTCCTAGACACCGGACCTTTGCCTTTGCCTCGGCCTTTTCCGCGCGATGAGCTTTCGCTGCGCTGCTCTGTCTTGGCCCTGGGATGTCTGCATTCCCTCTTCATATGGCCTAGACGTCCACACGAGTAGCATTTCACTGCCTTCAAAGCTTTGGCGCCATCTGGTGGTTCCACTGCACTATGGGATGACGTCTGTGAAGACTCCCCTTGCCCATGCAGCTAGCACCCCGGCGATCTGCTTCATTTAAAATCACGGCAGTAACAAAGTCCACTGTCAGCTGAGCAGTTGGTTGCACAGCAATCTGGGTTGCAACAGACTCCCAACCTGAACCCAAAGATTGTAGTATCATGAAAGAATACACAGCCTCTGGAAAGTTGAGTCCTCTCTGTTGCAGCTCATGTCTCAGATTTTGCATCTCCATCAGATGTAAACGCACATCTCCACCTTCAGCAAGAGCCATATTGTGCAGCTTGTTAAAGTAAAACATAGTGGATCCAGCTTCTGTCCTTAAGTGAGCCTCTCTCAAAGCGTCCCAAATTTCTCTGGCTGAGGTCTTATCACGCAATAGACAGAGCTCTTCTGGGGATACTATCAATGTAAGAGTTCCCCTTGCTTTGGAATCCTTAGCTTCCCATGCATCTGTAACTGGAACTGGGGGTTCCTGTAATCACCTCAAACAAACCCTCTTTCCGCAGAATTGCCTCTGCATACTGAACCCAGTCGCTGTAATTTTTCTTGTTGAGCTTAGGAATCCCACAAGCATCCTGAAGGGCCATCATGACTCTGGCATTAGCCTTCAGCGTCATATGCTGCTTTAAATCTTGCTGCGTCACTGCTGCAGCTGCTTTATTACAAAAGCGCACTTAAAAGTTACTTTCGATTTCCCAGCATAGTGACTTGTGCCTGGGAGCCTTTTGCCTATTCCCGGCAAAACCGGCTTTAAAAGTTCAAAGTCCAGCCATAAAGCCATTAACTTGAAGCTGGCAGGCTGCCCGGAGCAGTAGCACATACCTCATCAATCACTTCTACGCGCAGAGCAGATTCCTTTCCGATCCGTCCCTCTGCATTCCGATCCTTTGCCGGCACTCCGATTCGATTTCTGGAGTCCATAACCACGTGTTGATTTAAGCAGAGTCTCGTGCCCAGCGGAAGGATGAGGAGTGTGTTGCATACTCTATATTGCTTTATTTACAGTTCAAAGCTGGTATATTACAGAAAGACATCTTGCCTCTGCCGGAGCAGAAAAATGCATCCTCTCTCCTCGACAGCTCGGAGAGAATCACACAGTGAAAAACAGGAAACCAGTGTACGTCACATCCAGTCTCCCTTTCCCGTGAGAAACTCCAACAGTACAGACTGTGGAATGTAAACACCTGTCTCGTGACAAGCAGAGCTGCACAGTGAAGGA